TTGTGTAGTCATATTCACCAAAGTTTGATCCTGAACTCATTTAGAAAGCATAGGCTTATGGTCATACCACATTCCCTCTGTGTATTTATAAAATGGCTTAAAAAAAAAATAGGGGCCAAGGCTAGAGCCATAGTACAGTAGGTAGGGCATTTTTCTTACACGTGGCCGACTCTCATCCTCTCAGGCATCTCACGTGGTCCCCAAACACTGCCAGGAGTAATCCCTGGGCAGTGCCAGGTGTGACCCAAAAAGCCAAAAAAGGGAAAAAAATTAGGGACCACACTCTTTCGTACTGGGGGTCCCTAGACCACTCCGAGCAATTGTCAGCTCAATTGACATGGGCTTAATGACTGTTTGGGATGACCCTGTTCTGTACTTAAATCTGGTGGAGGCAGTGAAGATGGGGAAGTGACTATATCCTCAAAGAGGTGTATCCTATGCTTTTCTTCTTGGCTCCCTGAAGGAACAAATGACTGAGTGGTCTTCTGTAACATCTTTAAGTCCTATTTCCCATTTCCTTTTCTCTCTCTCTCCCTGTTCTCAGTAGTACAAGTGATACCAGATGGTAGATCGAGGCAACTTGCTGCTTTTAGACATTATTCCTCAAGCTTCTGTTTGCTCTTAAGGAAATATGCCTTCCGTAATATACTTTCCTCTTAAAGAAGGTATTACCCTTGGTTTTATTCTATGGAAATGTTACTTTATTTTTAAAAAGTTTTTGTTTCATTTAAGCAAGCACCAATCAGAGTCTTTCTGAGTGAATATCACCCGAACAGGTAGCATGCAGCTAGAACACAGACAGGTGTCTCCTTAGTACCCAGGATATAAAGGAGATTTATTTATTTTTTTGGTTGGTTGGTTGGTTGGTTGGTTTGGGGCCACACCTGGCAATGCCTGAGGTTTACTCCTGGCTCTGCACTCACGTTTCATTCTTGGTGGGGCTTGGTGGGGCTTGGTGGGGCTTTGGGGTTCTGAGGATCGAACTCGGGGCAGCCACATTCAAGGCAAGTGTGCCTTTATTGCAATATCACTCTGGGTCCATAAAGGTGATTTAGTGGGAAGTTCGGTGTAAGGAGAAATTCTTTTGGATCCCATGGCTCATGGAAGTTTGAGATAGTTGAGGTGGGTCTTAAAATGTGTATGGCATAAAGGATAGTAGAGCCATCCTATCCATTCAGAAGTGTAGTAGATCATAAATGATTATATGAAAATAAGGGGTATTTTTAGTGTATTTTGATGGATCTCTTACCCAAATAATTCATGTGCCACAAAACCTCATGGGGAAAATGATAGAGCCAAGTTTCAATATCGCTAAACTCTGTATTTGTTTTTATGGATCATTTTGCTTTAGTAATTAATTTATTGCAAACTCTATATAAAAACTTAGTCATATCATCTTACTCCACTTTAAATGTCAGCAAAAATTTCCCTACCTTTTTGATATTTTAGGACTGGGTAAAGCATTAATATGGAGACAGTTTATGTTACTGTTATTTTCACCAGAGAATATCGAGAGGTAGTAAATTTGGTGCCGTCAATAGGACAGTATTTCCTAACTTTTAGCAAAGCACAAAATATATTGCTTTCTGTGAACTCTATCCTATCATTCAGGGTCGTGCTTAATATAATAAGAATGATAAAAATAGAATCCGAATACCACCATCTGTTTCCTAGTATATTGGCAAGGATGTTATGGTTTCATAAACACAAATATTCTATTTTAACACTTTATCTTAGTGGTTTCCATCCTCATTCAGGTAGTCTATTCACCCTCCATGAGTAGAGAGATGGTTGAGGCCATATCAGCAGATAGAAAAGCACAGCAGGACATAAACTAGAAGTGAAACCTAGCAGAGAGGTTCACACAGCATAATTGGTGAGTTATAAGATAGACCATTGATTTAGTCACTGCTTTGAAAGGAAAAAAAGGGAATAACACTTGCATAGAAAATACCCTATCCATTCTAAGCCCCATTCATTTTGAAATGTTACAAAGAAAAATAGAATCTGTCATAGAATCAAGGTAAGAAGTAAATTAGTCTTGTGTCCAAGGAGCAAGGTGTAAAATAGATTAGATAAGATCTCAAGCCAAACTACATGTTCCAGCAATCAGAAATTGATAATCTAAGACAAAGGTGGGCGAGATGGAGGGGAGGAATGTGGGTGAGGAGTAGAATTGAAACATCTTTCCAGGAAAAGGTTGATAACTACATCCTCAGGACAAAGAAGAAAGTTAGACAGGGACTCTGGGAACAAAGTTCCTCCCAGAGCAGGAAAGTAACTTCAGAATATTTTGCTTATCTTTGTTGGCTTGCGGGGCTTGGGTCCCTTGACCTTCAAGGGGTAGCCAGGAAAAGAAAGTGGAATTTTTGTTTGTTTTTAATTTAGGTCACAGTGCTTAGGACTTACTCCTGGCTCTGTGTTCAGGGATCATGCCTGGCAGTGCGTGGGGGAACATATGTGTTCCTGGGAATCAAACCCAGGCCAGCTGTGATCACGATCACGATCATGATCATCCTGTTGTTCGTAGATTGCCTCGAGCAGGCACCAGTAACGTCTCCTTTGCCCTAGCCCTGAGGTTTTAAAAAGTGCCATATTCAAGGCTCTTTCAGGGTTAGAGAATGAGACCCATCCTTGTTTCTGGTATTTGGCATATTGGGTACACCACGGGGAGTTTGCCAGACTCTGCCGTGTGGGCAGGTTACATTCGGTAGCCTGCCAGGTTGTCCAAAGTAAGAATAAGAGGATCTGGGTGGAGGATGCTCAGCCCCAATCCAGGCAGGCTTGGAGATCTCAGCCCCGGGACCTGCATGCCTTTATTCCTCTGCTGGTACCTTCATGCATGTGGAGAGGGGTCTCAGCATGGTTTTTGCTGGTTCTGGAGGTCTTCGGCTGCTGGGGCTCTGCTCGGGGTGGGGCAAGAAACTCGACCCGCCCCTCCTGCAAGGGGCCCCAGCAAGGACAGCCAGGCACGGGGACAGGAGACTTTGCGCTGTTCGCTTCCAGGAGCAGGGTTTTATAGTCTCTGGGTCTTGGCTGTTGATGGGATTACACGGTGAGGGGTGGGGGGGGGGGGCAGTTGGTGGGTGTGACCCCTGCCTACTGGAAGACGGAGGCCAGCTGCATGCAAGGTAAATCCCTTGCCCCTTAATTCTCTCTTTGGCCGGAAAGTGGGCATTTGCATTTGGAAGTGTGACCTCCTGAAGTGTTCTTGTACGTGTAAAAGATGTTACAGACCGTCAGGCAGCAGAACTTTGGTTTTACACTAGTATTGCTCCCTCTCCAGTCTTACGCACTGTCGCTTCTTTATTATTTCCTCATGTCATCTCAGATGTTGCGGAGATGTAGTTTTAGGTAGTGATCCATTTAGTTTATTATATGTGTCATATGTTTATGTTTTATTATGTTTAATTAATGGCTCTTGTCTGATTCCATAGCTGTATCACTTTTGCTGAACTTTTAAAGGAATCACATTAGCTGTACATGTGTGTGTGCACACGCAAATGTACACACATAGACACACAGATGCATACACAGACTCAACTGGGAAAGGGACATGGCTCAGGAATAGGGCACATACCATGAAAGTGTCAGTGCCTGTCAACCTCCAAAATGGTCAAGAAATATAGTAATGGCATGCACATTAAAAAATGATACCACGAGCACAAAAATAATAATGTTATTTGGGCTGGATGGATAGTACAGTAGGTAGTGTAAGTCAAGTGTCTAAATTTTTAGACACTTGACTTACATACACTTTACTTACTTACAACTCACGTGTAACACCACACATCCAATATGGTTCACCTGAGCACCTCCAGGTGTGGTTCACGAGTACAGGGCGAGAAGTAAACCCTGAGTATCACCGAGTATGTGTTCAAAAAAGTATTTTAAATTTAAAAATTAGTAATATTTACTGGGTAAGTAGCACTCACTGTAGCACTGTCCTCCCGTTGTTCATCAATTTGCTCGAGCGGGCACCAGTAATGTCTCACAACAAAATGTGAGACTTGTTGTACTGTTTTTGGCATATCGAATATGTTACGGGTAGTTTGCCAGGCTTTGCCATGAGGGCGAGATACTCTCGGTTGCTTTCCGGGCTCTCTGAGAGGGGCAAAAGGAATCGAACCCAGGTCAGTTGCATACAAGCAAATGCCCTACCCGCTGTGCTATCACTCCAGCCCACTGAGTAAGTAGACCCAGCATAATGCCTGTACTCAGTAGATAATAGTAAAGTCTTGGTTGAATTAAATGGTATTTATAACATTTGAAACTAAATTATCTTACAATAATCTGTGCATGCTATTTTCCCCTACTTTTTTCAAACCATATGGTTATAAAAATAGTTAATATTTGTTTTAGCAGAGCAATTTTAGAATGTGACTAATATTTCAAACACCAGAACTAGCATTTTGATATACATTTTGATTACTCAAATGCACTGGGCTTACTATCCATATAAAAAGGATTGAGAATTGGTCATCTTAAATTCAGGTGTATGATCCTAATGTAGGCCCCTAAGTCCAGTACATTTACATTATAAAGGCATGATTCTTGTTCTATTATCCCCAGCAAAGAGCATTTTGCTGAAATTCTGTGAATGTGAACGAAGTTTTTTTTTAATGCATACATTGAAGTAGCACATAAAGTAACTTCTTTCTGATTCAATTTCATAAATTGCTGCATGAAGACGCACCCTCTAGTAGATAATACTCAGAAATCAGCACTTAATATGGCAGTAATGGTTATTGCTGTCATTCTTTACATCTTTAAAAATAATTAAGCATTACTGCACAGGCATTATAAAGTTCCCCTATCATCATTAAGAGGATATTTGAGGTTTGATGTAATTTAGCAAATTGCATTATACAGTAGTTAAGGTTTTTATGTAGTGAAGTAAAATGCGTAGTAGTTAAGCACACTTACCATATAATGCATTGTACAGAGTTACACGTTCCAGCTGCCGCCAGCTTTGTTCCAGTGTCATTATTGCTTTGCAGGCTGAAGTTCCTCAGGGAGTGATTCGAGTGCAAGCTCCCCATCTTTCGAAAGTTTCCATGGCAATACAGCTAACGGAAGAACTAAAAGCCAGCGATGTACTTGCCAGATTTCTCAGCCAAGAAAGGTAGAAGCTTGTTTTGTTTTAATTATCGCATGGTATAACTCACTCTCTTTCCCTTCCCTCCTTTTATTTTACTTTTTAAATTATGAATCTCATGAAGTGCTTAACATTTTTTCCCCTGCAGCAAAGAACAGGCCTAACAATCAGATTGGTGAGCCATTGGAGTTCATTTGATGGAGCTGGGGTTCAGGTTCAGCCTGGGTCAAGCAGAATGCCTGATTCTTCCTTCAAAGTATCTGCAGGGTGTCAGTAGGCCCTCCAGAGCATGTTAATGGAGGTTAATTACTGTCTGGGGGCTGTTAAGAAAATCACTAGGTGGAATACAGTGGCATTAAAGCAGATAGCAGATACAACTTTTTCTATAAAATACAATGAATCCAAAGAAATGCTTGAATTTTAAAAGGCACAAATAATTGAGAGGCACAGCTGTCCCTGAGATTCTTGTCATGAGCCCAGAACACACTGTCCCTTAGAGAGAGATGACCAACTCTTCTCTACTGGAGAGCTCAGTGTGGGAGGAGTCCTTTGAAAAACCAGTTGGCATTCACTCTTTAATCATATTTGCGTCTATGCTTGTGTGTGTGTGTGTGTGTGTGTATGTTTGAATGTTAGAGTAAGTGATGTATTAGGTTTTTAGTTTTCTTTTTTGAATTTTCACTTGTAGCTAAAGTCATATTTTTCAGTGTGCTCCCTCTTTATTTCTTCTCAAAGACATAAAATAATTCAAATTTTTGGAAAAAAACACACAAAGAACTCAGTCTGGAGAGACAGTACAGAGTTTAAGGTGCTTGCCTTGTATATGACTGGCCTTGGTTCAATCCCTGGCATTGCATATGCTCCCCTAAGAACACAGGAGTGATCCCTGAGCACAGACAGAAGCGGATGCCTAACCAAAGATAGATAGGGAGACAGACAGACAGACAGACACACACACACACACACACACACACCAGAGAAATAATGGGCTATGTCATCTCAGCTTAGGAGAACTGTTTCATTGTTCTGTAGACATTTTTCTTCTTCTGATGTTCAAGGGTTTTGAGTAATAAAACTTTTCTGGCAACACGTCTCTAACTTTAATACACTATCACAAGTATTCATCTGTCTCTGCTCTTTTTAAGAATCCCTGGTAGATTGTTGGAGGGGGGTTTAAACTATATTTTCAAGCATCTTCTCTTAAGGTTTATAAATTGGGAGAGGAGAAGAGGCTATTCATCAACAGATGGTGATGAAATGGAAGAGAGGTTTCTTGGTACTGTCTGGGCTTTATTCAGTAAGCCAGCATACTCTTGCCTCTCACCAACATTCCCAAGTGCGTCCCATCACTTCTGTTTTACTGATCAGAAACCAGAGACTCTTCAGGGTTCCCATTTCATAAGGTCAGAGCTGAATCCGGGTTTCTGTCTTTGGAGGCGTGCCCTAACCACTCTTCACACTGACTTATGGGTCTCAACACATCACAGATACAGGGGCCATTAGTGCAGATCCTGGGAACAGATGGCATTTAGGGAGGATTAAGACTGGGGGCAGTTGGAGTTTCACAAGCTTATGTCCTGGGAGCAGTAGTAATTTCTCAGATGTCTGCTCTTCAAAGGGTCTCTCCACTTGAGCAAAATTAATACACTCTCCTCTGTTCCCTGCTGTGGCTTAGAGCTATCATCTCTTGCCATTCCTCCTTCCGAGAATGACTTGTCATCCTTCCCCAGAATTACCTGAAGATTTGACCAGACTTCAGATATAAGCTGCTCTTTCAGTCTAGACAGAAGTGGTTGATATAGAATCTATTTTAGGTCCCCATTTGCTCCATTTAGTCTGTACTTTTGATCCTATACTTGCAGAGATTAAAAGCCAGACCATGGCGTTGTATAAGATGGTCGTTTGTGCTCTACGTCTTTGGAGTAAGCATGGCAGTATTGGGCGTATTGTTAGAGAAAGCATCCATTTTGATAACTGCTCTGAAGGTATTTACGTTTTCTGCTGTTGATGCTTCTGTTAAATAAGCATGCTCAGAATTTGATGTCTTCTGCCTCTTCGCTTTTCACAATCATTAGTGTCTTACCTTGTGTCTTGGGATGCTGGATACAGATGACATGGGTTTGTTCATAAGCCAACTTTTCCTGTTTCATTTAGTCTGGTTTTTATGATTATTATTCAAGATTCTCACTTGTAAAAAGGAACTCTTACAGGGTCTGTGTTGTAGTCTTTTTAATAATTAGCTAGAAAATGGCCACAAAGCACATATTGCTATTTATTATATGATACTCTCAGTATATACGGATGAACATCTTGCCAATAACATTTTTTTTTATTTTTATTAGTGAGACACCATGAGGTACAGTTGTAGACTTACAAATTTTTGTGCTTGGGTTTCAATTATACAATGATCAAATACCCATCCCTCCACCAGTGCCCATTTCCCACCACCATGAATCCCAGTATCCCTCCCACCCCCCAACCCCCCCATCACCCCATCCCACCCTGCCTCTGTGACAGGGCATTCCCTTTTGTTCTCTCTCTCCTATTGGGGCTGGAGCGATAGCACAGCGGGTAGGGCGTTTGCCTTACAAGCGGCCAACATGGCTGACCCGAGTTCGATTGCTCCGCCCCTCTCGGAGAGCCCAGCAAGCTACCGAGAGTATTCGATATGCCAAACACAGTAACAACAAAGTCTCCAATGGAGACGTTACTGGGCCCGCTCGAGCAAATCTCCTGTTGGGTGTTGTAGTTTGCAAAAGAGGCAATGGGTGGCAATCATGTTTGGTCTATAGTCTACTTTCAGCATTCTTTTAGCTTTTTTTACCCAGTTTGAATTCCAGGTGTATGTAGGGTCAGTTAGAAACCTTACTTCCCTCATGCTTTTTTTCCTTGACTTTCCCTATTGAAGCCAATCATCATATGAAAGACATAAAATAAAGGTACAAGACATTGAGTGTTCAATCTCCAGTCCTTGATAATTTTTTTAATTATATATTTCTTAAGTAAGTAAAGTAAAAGTAAAGACCCTCCCGTTGATCATCGATTTGCTCGAGCGGGCCCAGTAACGTCTCCATTGGAGACTTTGTTGTTACTGTGTCTGGCATATCAAATACTCTCGCTAGCTTGCCGGGCTCTCCGAGAGGGACGGAGGAATCAAACTCGGGTGCAAGGCAGATGCCCTACCCGCTGTGCTATCGCTCCATTATGTGAAATCTTGTATATACCAGGAAATTCAGTTAAGGTTGCTGTAGCACTGTTGCACTGTAGCACTGTCCTCCCGTTCGTTGTTCATCGATTTGCTCAGTGGACCCAGTAATGTCTCCATGGTGAGACTTGTTGTTACTGTGTTTGGCATATTGAATACGTCATGAGTAGCTTGCCAGGTTTTGCCATGCGGGTAAGATACTCTCAGTAGCTTGCCAGGCTCTCCAGGAGGCACGGAGGAATCGAACTCGGCTCAGTTGGGCCAGTGGCTTACAAGGCAAATACCCTAATGCTGTGCTATCACCGTAAAATGGAGAAAGAACAAGACATTAGAGAAGCAACCTGAGATCAGTCTCTGACTAGATTATTTTTTTCCCAACTTCCCCAAAATGTTCAACTTGATTTTCATGGAATGAATGACTTTTTATACTCATTATTTATGTATTATATATTACATGTCCATATGTATATTCATGCGAAATTATACATAAAATGACATTGATAATTTCATTTCAAGAATAACAAATACCAGTTTCGAAGCAAAGTGAAGTGATTCTTGTTTGGCTGTAACTCAGCAGGTGGGTCTGAGCATATTTATAGTCCCAAGTATCTGGCATGACTTAGACATCAGAGTTAAGTCAGAGAATCAGATGAGTCATTTAATGGTTGAAAAGCTGCACTGCTCCTATATTCTATTTTTAATAATGATTTGATTAAAAGCCAGACCTAGTTTTCTCAGTTGCAGGGAATGTGTCATCAGTGTCTTCTGTGCATCAGAATTCTCCAACAGAAATCTCCATTGCACCCTTTGAAAGCAGGTTCTCAATCTTTTTTTTAGAGACTTTAAATCTAAGTGTCTAGAGCTCCAGGTTCTAGATTTTTAACAGGGATCCCAAGGTTATTCACATGTAAACTTTTGGGAAAAAATCATTGAATTTTACCAAAAATATGGTTTGGCAATAAAAAACAGTATTTTTATTGTTTGACACTGATGTTGGAAAGAGTTTGTTTTTTGAAGAGCAATAAATCTGTAAAGATTTTCTCCTAAAATTTATGAGTGTCTGGGCAATTCCACTGTTAGGGACAAAACAAACTGATTAGTTCTGTCATCGTGAGAGTTTGCCTTTTCTTCAAGTATCTGCACTACCGGTATGTGAATGTTGTCCACAAGTAGTGTCCTGCTACCACATTCATCTTGTCTATTGTTAGGCATTGTCTTTGCAGAGAACCCAGGAGAAGTACTTCTTGACTCAGTGCAATGTAAAAACTCAGGTGGAAACATTTATTTTCTCTGAATTTCTGTGACCTTTTTGGCCTCCAGGCAAAGAGGATGCTCTTATTGATCATTTCTTGGAAACTCAAATGTATTACTACTTTTCTTTTTGCTTGTATAAACTTATACCAATTTATCATTTTGTTTTAAGATATATGGTTCCATTTGTTGCTTTTAATTTATAGGTATGACATTTTTATTAGCTCCTGAGAACACTTAACAGATGGAGAAATATAAATGTATAGATAATTACAGCATGTTTAAGTTATGAATTTTCCATACAAGTCAGAATTCCCCAAGCACATTAAAGTGATTTACTTACAAGCTGTTTGATGATAGAACTAATCAGTTTGTTTTGTCCCTAATAGTGGAATTGCCCAGACACTCAAAAAAGGGGAAGTTTGTTTGTATGAAATTGGAGGAAATATTGGTAAGGCATGTTTTTTTTTTCCCCCTGCAGGGCTGGGGGTGGGGTGGGGTGGGGGAGGGTACTTACTAGAATTAAAATACAGTGTGCTATAGAAGTTGATATGCATTTTGGCTTTGTTTAGTGGTCTGATTTTTCTCTAAAGGTTTTATTTGAGACACATCATTGTTTAAATCTCAAAAAGAAAAAGAAAATAGTTCTCCCAAATACGAATAACTTCTAGACTGTTAATGAAATTATTCAAGGCTCACATATATATATATATATATATATATATATATATATATATATATATTTGTACTATCTTAATAAAAGAAGTAGTTGTAAACCCAAAATTTGTTCCTTATGGGTGGAGCAATAGCGCAACGGGGAGGGTGTTTGCCTTGCACACGGCTGACCCGAGTTCGATTCCCAGCATCTCATATGGTCCCCTGAGTACCGCCAGGAGTAATTCCTGAGTGCAGAGCCAGGAGTAACCCCTGTGCATGGCCGGGTATGACCCAAAAAGAAAAAAAAATTGTTCCTTATACCTAAGTTAACATATACTAGTACAATGTTAGATAATATTAGTGGAAAAAGACCTTTCTTCTCATTGTTGATTTCTAAATAAAATAGTGTGTAAATGGATTAATTTTGACTGCCTTATATTTTATTTGACCATTTGTGATTATCAATGGGCTGTAACCACCTCTTTATTAACATTTAAGATGAAAATTTTGACCTTTAAGGATTGCTGAGGTGATTTTTATTATAACTTTAATGTTTTAATTCTAAATAGTAATTAAATATAATTTAAGATAAATTCATGGGATTTTTATCCCCAAAACTATGTCAATAAATACAAAAAAAAATCGAATGCAGGAATGTGAAAAACTCATTCTCAAAAAGTTAAATAAACTACCATCTTTACATTGGAATTGTTAGTGCTATCGTAATATTAATTAAAGATATTAATATATATAAGATTTATAAGGCCCTCCCTCCCGTTGATCGTGGATTTGCTCGAGCGGGCCCAGTGACGTCTCCATTGGAGACTTTGTTGTTACTGTGTTTGGCATATCGAATACTCTTGGTAGCTTGCCGGGCTCTCCGAGAGGGGCAGAGGAATCGAACTTGGGTCGGCCATGTTGGCCGCTTGTAAGGCGAACACCCTACCGCTGTGCTATCTTTAATTAATATATCAATATATTTAATTCTGCATTTGGAGCATCACCTATTGGGGATTTAGTATGGTTCTTACTCAGGTGGATCAAACACTGTTGCTGCTCTTAAGAAAAAAAAAATAAGGCCAATATGATTTTAAGGAACAATTTCAAAGCCCATAACACAAAGCATATTTTCAGTTTCCTAAATTAACCTGAGACCTTTATTTATTTAGAGAAAGACTGATAAATTTACTTTCCAATATTTGGCCAGGTCTTACAATTTTGTGCATATGGGAAAGGATGGGATGTATGTCAAGCCTAAGACAGGCCATTAAGCTTACATTTAATATCGCTTCCCAGTCTCCCATTGCTTTAATTGGTCTGACATCTCTTTACAGGAGAACGCTGCCTGCATGATGACACGTATATGAAGGACTTGTATCAGCTCAACCCAAATGCTGAGTGGGTTATAAAATCAAAGCCATCATAGAAGATGTATGCTGCAGATAACTAGAAGGACTTTTTTAATACTTGCTTGGTCAAGAATGTAAATAAAAGGAACAAGAGACTGTCATTATTCAAGTATTCCCGACTGTTGAGTAGAGACACTCTCAAGCTTGAAAATGTAAATTTGTGCGGCTGCCAGAATTATGTTAATAATAATTATCAATATTATTATTAGAAAGCAGGTATCTCTGGAGAGAAAGGAAAGGGACTTAGTGAGCCTGTAGGCTATTTTTATATAAACTGAAATAAGCCCAAATGTGACAACTTTTTTTTTTTAATGTGAAAATGTACTCTCTGTCTCTTACTTTTTGGACCAAAAATCTTATACACAGTAATATATACTTTCTCTTCTCCTTGCATCTGCCTTTCCCTGATGAGGTTTTTCTTTTAAACAACAACAACAACAAAAATAATAATATTGAATACTAGGTATGGCAAGTTGTGAAGTCAGTACATCTAAAAACCAGACCAGATTCAGTGGTTTTCTTTGCTCTATCAAATGTTAATATCCATCTTTTTGGATCAATTGCTCAGACAGTAATGTTCTCTTTCTGCTTTATCATGTGTTCTATGTGGCACTGTTTTCAGGTCATCTAAGATGCGCAGGGCTGTATCCATGGGAAATAGGTCTTTCAGAAACTGCCAATTAGAACTGAAAGAATGAATAATTACACATGGAAAATAAATAAAATATATCCACATGGAATAACTGGATTATGGAGAACAAGAGAGTGGAAGCCAAATCACTTTATATATTCTGTGCCCCTCACATGAAGTGTTACATCATAGCTGGCTTTACCTGATGTCATGTTAGCAGCGTCAAGATGCATCATAGTATAATCCAGTGGTGTTTAGATTGCATTCAACATAAGGAGTTTTCTTCAAAGTTTTACTCATAAAGAAGTCTGCAGGAATAATTATTCTTTTGGGTATGACACAGTCATATAAACAAGCTTTTGTTTGTGTGCTTATTTTAAACAACCAGAATAAATTTATTAAAATGCTGTGGAAAGTGCTTTTCCCAGGGATTTAGTGCACACACCATATTGTGACAAGATGTGCCTCTGTACTAGAAATAAGAGGAATGCAGTGAGAGAGAAATGTTCAATATTTTATGAGTTTAGAGTGTAGTAAATAAAAGGTGATGTAAATGAAATGTTGCACACACTGTGTTTATGATACTTTTAGTAGTACTTTAGGAAAAATTACACATTCTCAGAAGCTCTTGATGTCACTCTAATTAGGAGCATTCTCACTAAAATGCTGTTAGTGAGAACATTCATAAAATTTTTAGCATATAATTACAGGAGCAGCCTGTGAATATAATCACTTAAATAACTGGTGATTTGTGCCATTTCTTGTTTATTTTTAAAAATTTTATAATTAAATACACTTTTTTTCTAAAGCATTTTCTCTTGGAAGTTTTACTTTTAATCCTTGTGTTTGTGATTGTGCTAATGGGCTTTTTTGTTTTCTTACGAGTCACTTCACTCTTTCGTTGCTCCTATTCATTTTGGGTCATTTTTAAATTGGGAGAATGGGAAGGATATTATACACTTTTTCTCTTCCTTAGTTTTTTCTGATGGAAATTTCTATTCCTTATTCTAGGATTTTTTTAAAGATACTGACATATTATTTTCTGTATTGACAATGTACACTAACTTCCCCGTTAGAAAAATGTTTTATTAGTTGAATGAAAAACGTTAACAATATGAAAAAGCAAGCTGGTTTATAGCTTAGTGATAGAGCACTTGCCTTGTATTTCTAAGCACCCTTGTTTGATCTCTGGCCAAATCCCAAATGAAAACAAGTCAAAAAAATCAAACAGCAAAAAGAAAAGCAAAATTAAGTACCCTGAATAGTGTTCAACTTTAAGAAAAATAGACGACTAAGTGTAATGATGTAGAGAATAAGTGCTGATTTACCCAATTTTAATATAAACCTAGAAGGTCCTTGAGCAGGCCCAGTAACATCTCCATTTTGAGACTTGTTGTTACTGTGTTTGGCATATTGAATGTACTCTCGGTAGCTTGCCGGGCTCTCCGAGAGGGACGGAAGAATCAAACCCAGCTTGGCCAGGCTGGCTGCATGCAAGGCAAACGCCCCACCGAAGGTCCAGGGAGGTGGGTGCAAGAGTCTTTTTATACTGAAAAAATATCATGGTTTGGGATACATACTTACAAAAATACTATTTTATTTGGATTCTGCTTAGAATTCAGTGTCCATATTTATTGACATAAAACAACATTGCATTTAAATAACCAGAAAAGATGTTTATCTGCACTTTTAAAGCGGAAGAGCTTGATAATGTAGAGCCTCAAATATAAATCCCTTCAATGTAATCCACATACCTTTTCTAGAATAATTTTTCCTAGTGAGTTTTAAATCGTTTTTTTTCATTTTTATGACTTTATTTATTGAATCACCATGAGAGCAGTTACAAAGCTTTTGTGTTTAAGGCTCGGTCATACACTGAAACACCCGTACCTTCACCAGTGCTCATTCTCCACCACCAAAAACCTCAGTATACCCCCATCCCACACCCTCCCCCTACTTGTGGGGCAGATGATTTCCACATTACTCTCTCTCTACTTTAATTACATTCAATATTTTGATTGACACCAGATACACCATTATTATTTGGGATTTTACCCCAACACTAGATTTGCTGAAAAGGCAACAGTAGACAATTTGTTTTCTATTGCTGGTTATGAATAACATACCACGTTGCACAGCTGCAGTAGTGGCCATGCGATTTTGAAATGACAAAATTTTAACAATTAAATCTGGAGGGATTTCTGCCAAAACCTGCTGGGTTCCGAGATTTGTTCCTGAGTCTCTCGGATCATGGCCATTAAGCAGTTTGATCAGGAGCCAAAGAGGTCATTCATGGGCGGCAACTCGGGGTCTTGTTTGGTGGGAAGAAAAGGACCGGCTCCACCCACATCCCGTGAGGCCCTGTGCATCACTGCGGACCCAAATCTGACTGTCAAGTGGCCTCTGGAAGATGACGGCCACCAGGCCGCCATGGGGAACAGGCAACGCATGAAACCTATTCCCACCTAGGGTGGCCCAGAGACAGTAACCTACTGCAGGGACAGATGCATTTCTGCCAAAAGCCATGTGTCTCATCACTGAGGGCCCAAACCTGACTGTCCAATGGCCTCTTTGGAAGATGGCAGCCACCAAGCCGCCTAAGGGGAGCAGGCGGAGGGACAGCACCCTTCACCCCTGGGGTGGCCCGGCAACAGTAACCTACTGCGGGGTCTGGACGCAACTCGTGACCTCGGTAGGGCATGAAGGACAAGCTGGTACCACCCCTCTTCCCATGAGACTGCAGTTGCCCCCTCACCGCCGGCTCATACCTGGCTTTCCTATAAGCTCTGAGGCCGCGGCCACCTTGTACGCAGTCCGGATGCATTTCCGCCAAAAGCCCCTGGGTTTTGAGATTTGTTTCTGAGTCTCTGGGATCATGGCTGTTAATCAGCTTGATCAGGAGCCAGAGAGGCCGTTTGTAGGCAGCGACTCAGGGTCTCATTGGGATGGGGAGGAAAGGGCTGGTTCACCCCCATCTTGTGAGGCCCCACATCTCTTGTCACTGCAGACCCAAACCTGACTATCCAGTGGCCTCTGGAGGATGGCGGTCACTGGGCTACCAGTGAGTTTTAAATCTTGTGTAGATAAGTTTTTATTCATTTATATGGGAGAGAGGTAGATAAAAGAAATATATTTATTTTGAGCCTCAGACATTTTAACTCTCTATTTTTGTTTTTATTTATTTTTTAACTGAACCACAGTGATATACACATTTACAAAATTGTTCATGATTGAATTTCAGTCATATAATGTTCCAACACCCCTCCTTTCACTGACATATTTTTCCCACCATCAATAGTCCCAGTTTTCCTCCTGCTCCCTCACTCTCTCTCTGCCTCTCTCTCTCTGTCTTTCTGTCTCTGTCTGTCTGTCTCTCTCTCCTTCCTTTTGCTTATAAATGGATTGACATGGAGAGTATCATCTTGATTGAAATGGGTCAGAAGAAGAGGGACAAGTATAGAATGACTGCTTTTGTGGGATATTATACATATATAATATATATTTATATATGTATATATTATGACTGGAGTGATAGCACAGCGGGTAGGGTGTTTGCCTTGCACGTGGATCATTCAGGTTTGATTCCTTTGTCCTTCTTGGAGAGCCTTGCAAGCTACTGAAAGTATTCCACCTGCCTGCATGGCAGAGCCCGGCAAGTTCCCTGTGGCATATTCAATAATATATATATGTGTATATATATATATCACTTGATTACTAGATACCCCGTTACTCATCAATTTACTCAAGCGGGTACCAGTAACAGCTCCGTTCATCCCTGTTGCGTGCTAGCTTAGCCCAATGGCATCTGTTCGTTCTAGGAACATGCAGAGCCTCAAACCAATCATTCAGGGTCTTGATGAAGAAGTCTGACCATCTTGTAGGTGGGTGTCCATGCGATCTTTTGACGACCCGTGGAATCCAGTCAGTAATGGCTCTAGTCCAGCAGTTGTCTGTAAACCTCATTACGTGTTCTGCCCATCTCATTTAGTATATATACATATATATATATGTATATATACTAAATATATATACACACATATGTATAATATATATATATATATCCCTCACTTTGGAGATAGAGAGACAGACAAAGAGAGAGAGAAAGAGAGAGAGAGAGACTGATATCCAAAGTGAGGGTAAATGGGGCAGGAGGACAAGTCAATTGTTGGAAGCTTGCCACAAGGCAGGATGGGGGTGTGTGAAGGGCACAGGTAAAGGAATATACCTGATAACCTTTTATTACCTTATTGCACACCATAAGGCTCAAACATCTTAACTATTTAGAAAATTACAGTAGGGCTGGGGATGTGGCTCAGCACTTGCCTCAGATGTACAAGATCTTGGTTTTTGCTCCTGGTTTCATGTAGTCCCTTAAGCACTACCAGGAACAATTCCCAAGCGGTGAACCTGGAGTAGTCCCTGAGCAGAGCAGGGTATGGCCCCCCAATTTTCTTTTTTTTAAAGAAAACTTAAATTGCAGGTGGAAAAAGACAGGAGCTGGTATTTATTTTTATTTTTGAAACTTCTGAGTTGTAGTTTACAGTAGTCTTAACATTTATGATTCTGGTGTTTCTGTTTTCAAAAAAGTGATAAGGACAGCAAGTGGGCATGTGAAAAAGTGCTCATCAGCCTTTACTGTCAGTGAGATGCCATTCAAAATGACAGTGTGATCTTAGGAGTGAAAATGGCATGTATGGAAAAGACTGAAAGTAACTGTAATGGTGTGGAAGTGGTGAAGAATTGGTATTTATAGGAGACAGGTTAATATTGCAGAGATACTTCCTCTTTTTCAAAGAAGTTACTTATTGTGAAGTGTTTTGTTTCTCATTATGAAGAATTCACTGAAAACTTTTTGTTAGGCATCTTTAGGAAAGCAGAACACATTACTAACTTTGTGGGATTTTGCGTTTTTGTCTTTTTTCCTTAAACTGGATTGCATTTTCTACCACATTGTCCTGATTTCTTACCTATTCGCCAGTAGGTGGCAGTATTGGTCAGGGATTCCTTTGCATCTAAAGGAGCAGCATCTTAACTCAAGCATTCAAAACAGAGTGATCTAGACTTCATATCTAAAGTGGTTAAGATATTGCCAGGCATCCTCAAGGCAGTTAGTTGAGAACACCATGATCTCTTCTTTGATCACCGATTCTGAAAATTGTGCATCATAATTTCAGAGATTTTATGTCAGTCTATTTGTCAACTTTTATACTCAACCTTTTGAGTGCGGAGAGAAGGAAAGTGTTTTTGAGACAAAAAAAAATGGGCATTTTATAACATTTATTTCAACTATAAAGATCACGACAAGGGGTCAGAGAAATAGAACAGCCAACTGGGCATTTTCCTTTCCTGCACAAGACCTGGATTCAATCTCCTGCATCCTATATGCCCCCTCAAGTACCCCAGGAGTGATTCCTGAGTACAGAGTCAAAAAAAAAAAAAAAAAAACCCTGAGCACTGCTGTACAAAAAAAAATAAGAAGAAGAAGGGAGAGGGGTCATGACAAGATGAAAGACTATGTACCAGAATCTAATGAAGCACATAGTGAGTGTGTGTGCGTGTGTGTGTGTGTGTGTGTGTGTGTGTATGTATGTATGTGTTCAACAATAATTCACTACCACCTACATGTACTAGGCATGGTATACTCAAGCTATATCAATAAAACAAAATAACAAGAATCTCTGCCTCATACAGCTTACATTCTAGTGAGAGAAACCAAAAGTTAATTAAATAAAATGATTAATAGTACTGTGCTCCTGTTGTTCATAGACTTGCTCGAGCGGGCACCAATAACGTCTCCATTGTGAGACT